TATGGTGGAAAATCTGCACCATTCTGGTGCATGATTGAATTGCCACCAGAAAATTGCACCACAAAGGTGCATGGTAAAACGAACTTCACTGGCAATTTTTGGTACACCGTTCTTGTGAATGGAGGACCATGCTGTATTGAAAAATTTGTATCGCTCTGATAAATGAAATGAACAGAACATTTCTGGTGGAAAACTACCACTGGTCTGGTAAATGAAGGTACAAGCTTTATTTAAAATTTCTGGTGGAAAATCTGCACCGTTCTGGTGAACGGATGGGCAAGCTTTTCGAAAAAAAATTGGTCTTAAATTTGCATCCTTCTGAAGAATAGAGAAACAAATTTTAATGATAATTTCTGGTGTAAAATTTGCACCATTCTGATGATTGTTGGGAAGCTGCTTTACTGAAAATTTGTGATGAAAAATCCGAAAAAAGGGGCAAGCTTTATTTGGTGGAAAACCTTAAACATTCTGATGATAGGAGAAGCCAGCTACACACTACAAAAAAGACATGTAAATTTCAGTGCCCTGAGACCGACGCGTGCAAGCGACCCTTTTGGCATAAGAATCAGTTGAAAATGACGAGAAAATCAATTCAATCAAACATTCGTCGAGTTGCATATGTTTCGGTTTCAGGACACTTAATTTTACATGCCATGTTTGTTTACGTTCTATGATTTACGTCAAAGCTGAATTACGTATCGTGTAAAAATAATAATTTCTAAGTGTGTATATTGAAAATGTCTGCTAGAAAATGGAAAATCTGCACGAATCAGAAGATTGGAGAAGCAATTTTTATTGAACATTAACGGTGGAAAATTTACACCATTCTGGTAAATTGAAATTTTCTGGTTTAAAATTACCATTTAAATTTAATAATTGAAAATGTCTGGTGTTACATTTGCAACAATCTGCTGCATTGAGGGGCAAGCTAAATTGAAAATTCTTGATGTATGCACAGTTCTGGTGAATGTAGGGGCAAGCTTTATTGAACATTTCTGGTTGAAAAAAAAATACAACGTTTTGGTGAATGGACGGACAACTTGAACTTTACTTCCGAGAAGAACCTTAAGAGTATTGAATTCTGAGGACTGTTCAAAAAAGAAAAGATTTCTGAAGATGATTCCATGATTTTTCTGCGAATAATTTCTAGTGAATCCTGCAGATAGTTCCAAGGTAATTTCGAAAAGAATACCGAGATAATCAAATTTAGAGTGAAATTCCAAAGGGAGTGAATTCCGAGGATAATTTCTAGCTCATTCCGGGAAAAAATTCTGAAACTCTAAAGGAATTTCATTTCCAAAGTGTTCTATGTATAATTCCAGTGGACTTCTGAAATGAATTTCAAAAGAAGACTTAGGAGAGTTATAAAGCATCCGTAAAGAGCCTCAAGGATATTGAATTCTGAGGACAGTTCCAAAGAATTTCTGGGGAGTATTTTTCTGCAAATAATTTCTAGTGAATCCTGCAGATAGTTTCAAGATAATTTCGAAAAGAATTCCGAGAAAATCAAATTTTGAGTGAAATTCCAAAGGGATTTCAAGCAAAATTTCAAGCAATTCCGAGGATAATTTCTAGCTCATTTCGGGAAAAATTTCTGAAACTCTAAAAGAATTTCAGTTCCAAGGTGTTCTGAGCAAAAATCATGAAGAGTTCTAAATATCATTCCAGTGAATTCTAAAAGAGCTCTTAGGAGAGTTTTAAAAAAATCCAAGAAGAACCTCAAGGATATTGAATTCTGAGGACAGTTTCAAAGGATATATGGGGGGTATTGCACGAAAATTCTGTGGATAATTTTTAGTGAATCCTGCAGATAGTTCCAAGATAATTCCGAAAAGAATACCGAGAAAATTAAATTTTGAGTGAAATTCCAATGAGATTTTGTGGAAAATTTCTAGGGAGTACCAATAATTTCTTCTAATTTTCCGGGAATAGTTCCTGGATAATACTGAGAAAATTCTTCTAACAATGTAAGAGAAATTCAGTTCCAAGGTGTTCTGATTAAAAGTCAAGAAGAGTTCTAAAAATAATTCCAGAGAACTTCTGAGAATAATTTTAATAGAGCTCATAGAGTTCTAAAAATTTCGAAAAGACCTTCAAGGAATTTTGAGGATGGACTTTTTTGCAACTGTATAAAATTTAAAGACAGTTATTAGTTTGCCATTGAACCTTGGTCTATTGTTGTTGAATTTGTCTAAGAATCTTCTCTGAAAATTTCAAGCCATTTGTTTCCGTGGTTAAAAAGTTACAGCTGTTTATGTACGTTGCAATAAATTCGGGATTGTCCTTTGTATCATCTCTAAAACATGTTGAATGTTCGGCATCATTTCATGTCACCCCGATTGGCTGTACTTTGGGACAGGGTTGACATGCTCAATCCTTCGCACAAGTCGTAATTCCGTTAACAATCCTGTACTCGCTTGTCATAATAGTTTTTTGTGCTTTTGTTCCAATCGTTACATATTTTTTAAACCTTTTTAATTATCCTTTTAGCCTTGGCATTTAGGTCAAAATTTAAAAAATAGACCTACAATTTTCGCTGAAAATGACCAAGTTCAACGTACTCGCAACGATAATAGTAAAGTGTAACTACAACAGCATATAAGGGCTTACAAAACCTTGAAACAGTCAAAAATAACTGTAACGATGCCTTCAAAATATACAAAAACGTACTGCACAAAATTTCAGAAAGGTAACTGAATAAAATATGATACCAGTACCTTGAAGGATATATTTTCTTTGGTTCATATTTTTAACCTGTAAAGAAGAGCATGACATAAAACATTGTTACAACGATTCCTACAGGGTTCAGAAATTGAACGAAAGCGACCGAGTTGATGGGCAATCGCAGTGATACCCATGTTGGTAGTATGGAAACGTGGAAAAATTTCAAAACCAGGAAGGGTATAGACGAAGAACTGGGCCTTAAAAAAACAGCCAGTACACAAGTAACCGTATTCAAAATGACATGATTACGTTATTACACAATGTAGTATTGCAGAACATTGCGAAAACCTTGCGAGGAAAACCAGTGGCAATAATTGTAGATGAGACGAGCGATTGTGGCCACCACGAGCAGTTCGTGATTGTCATCAGGTATATTGATAGTGATGGTATTAAATTGCCAATTCCATTGGCTGTCTGAAAGCAGTTTGCATTGAAGAAGATGAACCACCACCGGAGCAAAAAATAAACAAAATTAGCTAAATTGAACAGTAGGGAAACAGTGGTGGGTGAACCGCTCCATCACCCAACACCCCAGATTAAATGCACCATAGAAAAAAAATGCCCCTCCTTAACAAGATTCCTGTGCACGCTGGTGCTGTTGTGTGATGACGCTCTTGTTTCAGCACTCTGAGCTGAGGAGTACTTCAAGCTGGGGAAATAAATATAATGTTGAATAATACCTATTACAGAAACGTACAGTCATTTCATCAACAATAATGCATTCAAACACATCGGCCCAGTCTTGATCAAAAATATACTGCAGTATTAATGAGACATCTAGACCAACAATTGAAATAGGCGGAACAACCAAACATAAACAATGGCTTTAGACACAAAATTCTCGCAAATCAAAATACTCCCACGTAAACTAACAAAGCCATTCGATAAAGGAAGTTTGCTCTATCAGATGATGGTGTTAGATTTCTTATGTGCTTTGATTCTCGAGAAATTTGCATTTAAAGCCATTGTTTACGTTCGGTTGTTCCGCCTATTTCAATTGTTGGTCTAGACATAATCAATTTTATTGAAGTATAGACGCCCTGCTTCATCATTCACGTTGCAAGCTGGGTGAGATGGGCAGTCAAGTGGTGCAGGTAGCGACAAGGCCAAGACAGGATGGTGAGTATGAATAGGTAAAAGTGCACGCTAAGAAATAACTAATTTTTAACGTGATTGAATCCGTCTTTAACATAAAAGATGAGACGTAAACAAACATGTCATGTAATATTAAGTGCTGCGAGACTGAAAAGTTCGTCGCGCGATTTAAATTACGTTGGATTGAGCTATATTTCGCGTCTGTTATGACTCAACTTTATGTCAAAATTGACGCTCGTATATGTCACTCTCAGAGCACGTAAATTTACAGGATTTTTTCTAAGTGTGCCTCTTCAGTGGGTGATCAAATGAAAACAGGGTCTACCTCACCCAAACATCTTCACTGACCGCTGCAAGTATTGCTCTCGTTGATGGAATGGATTTCATTAATCTCAGTCAACACAATACAGCCGAAATCAACTCAGCCGGACGCTGAATTTGGTATTTTGCAACGGTGAAAATGATTTCGATATCGATGAAACTGCTGTGCCACACACTTATAGCGAATTCGTTTATTATTCAGTTCCAACCTGGATCGGGTATCAAGATTGGGTCTGCTTGTTTTCTGACAAACGTCAGTTTGCTCGTTTGTTTTTAAAACCTAGCTCAGGTTGAGGTTCGCACTGACAAAAAGTTCGGTTTCGCACTGGGTTGGAACTGGTTCCAACCCCGATAATAAACGAATTCGCTATTAGAAATTATCATGAAAATTTAGGTGTTCTGAGAGTGACATTTACGAGCGTCAATTGTGACATAGATTTGAGTCATAACAGACGTGAAAAAAAGATTTTCAGTCGAACCAACGGACGAATCTGGAGCGGAACTGGTAAACACGAATATACTTGCCTTGAATTTCGGGTTGGAAGACCCCTTCTCCAAGCCCACATACAGGTCCGGGAGGCCAAACACATCATTTGTGTGCGTGACGCTGAGAAAGTGCTAATAGAAGTACGGATGCTGTTTAGATTGACGAGAATACGTAAATTCCCCTATCTGCATTATACTGCAACAAATGAAAATTAGCGGACTATTCCGTACCGTTTTATACCACACACATTAACAAGTTTTACCTGCTTAGCACAATTTAATAATAAGGATTTATGGTTAAAATCACTCTGGTTAACATTCAAAGTCCCATTGGTTTACTAGTCTTTAATATCACTTTCTCCGATATTACCATGCTACGCTGACCGACTACTCACGTATTGCATTCCCTCATAGGAAGCATTCCAACGCGCGACTTTCATTAGGTACAGTTTTCCCATCAAAAGCTCGGCCAGAAATGCCACCAACCCAGCGGCCAATCCGAAGCCAAGCATCAGGAACGCACCCAGCAGATGAGATGGCTGCAATTTAATTGGTCCAGCGTTATTCCGATGGCGCGAAGTGGCAATGGTCAGCTGTATCTTGTTGTTCTCGAACTTCGACACCACCTACCAATGACAAGCAAGGTATGTACTCATTATGAGTGCTAAACGAACGCATGCGCAGTCAATAGGAACTCACCTGCAGTTCCCAGTAGCGCTGTATTCCGCTTTGAAATATCGTCAGTATCAACTGATCCAGCTGTTCCATCATCGGCCAAGTCTTGGTGGACATGGCTACGCAGTTTTCCCAATAGATATCCTCTATCATAAGGTGGAATTTGTGCGAGGCTTCCTCATCGATGTATTCACCGATTGCAAAGTGACTGTATGGCAATCGTTCCACGCTGTAGGCCAAATCGAGCTGTTTGGTGTGCTGATTTAGGATCTCCTTTGGATGAGTTTGAAAATTATGCAGAATTTTGACAATGGTCGGTTGAGTTGCCATCAGAATCGAGAAGATCCACGCGTCGTGAGTCGATGCCCAGGGAATGTTGCTTTGCGCCAACTCAAGAACCGTATCAATTGGGGGTTCGTATCGTGGGATGGTCATGATACTGGAAAGGCCTCCGCTGTAAGCGTTCCCGATCATCAGGCCAACAAATAGCAGCGATCCCATGATGATAATTTGTGATATTAGCTTGTTCCGATTGATTCGAAGCAGAACCGATTGTAGAATGAAAATGCTGCCTATGGTCATGAACGACCCGCACAAATCAATGCGACGTTTCTGAAATGTTCGTTTAGTGTAAATTTATTGTGTCTTCCAGTTACGGGGAGTTTACCTTTTTGAGAAGAAAATTATCCACCATGAAGTTTACAATCAACGAAAAGAAACTCATGAATACGAACGTACTCCAAACAGCAATCCACAAATTTTGTGAAAACGGCAAAATAGGAATCAACCACCCACTAAGTAGCTTGGGCATTGGTGTAATGCAGGTGACTCCGGTCCGAGATATTGGCTTCGACAAGGTCAGGTAGATAGACTCATGATGCCAAGAATAAAGTGCTCCCACACCAATGTCCGCTCGACGTTCAACTACGGCACCGATAATGCCATTCCCAGTACGATTGTCCAATATTTCACCCCACTCTCCTGCCTCGTCAAGCGAGATATCCAAACTGCAGTTGTACATGGAACAGAATTCCAGAAATATCCTGCTCTCTGTTCCGTCAATGGTCAGCACTGGTCGTTGTTCGAAGTATGCATTGGAACCTTCAGTTGAGTTCCCCTTCTTCCAGATGGTGTAAGGATGATAGTTAAAGATAGCTAAGCGTACAAACCGGCCCTCCAAGTTGAGCAACTTGTCCGGAAACAGATCGTTTCCTTGAAGGAATGTACCTTGCGATGGAACGAAGCTGTCCAGTATCATCAACTCCTGGAAATGGTCTCGACTGGAGAATCGGTTAGTAATCAATTCGATTCGATCTGGATCGATAGGAAATAGTAACAACAGTCTGGGAATATCATGAATTGCATCATGTTGGACTAGTTGATCTATCGCCGTGTGGTTCGATTGACTATCGACGAGGAAGATGATCTTCTTACTGGAGAATCGCTGAATCGTTCGATCATGTAGATAGTTGAACCGATCGAGAAATACGGACGATGCTGCCTGGGTGACTATGAATGACTGGCAGCCATTGTCAATACTATCCTGAAGTGTTACATCGTTGAAGTTTGCTTGCCTTATCCAGTTTGTCAAATACGGACTTTTGAAGTATGACAAATAATCATGATCGGGCTGTTTGGTAACTATGCAAGTGCAGTAAACGTGTTTGAAATACTTCAAAACTGGTAAGGAAATTATCGTTAGTTGTCGTGCAAATACTCAATAGAACTACTTTACCGATCAAGTTGACCAAAGATGATATCCCGAAGGCAACGGGGTCCTCCAAGGTGTCCAATATGCTGTAGTCTGAGAAGGACATCCTTCTTTGTTTGAGGAAACCTACTAGTGGAAGACGTATTTATAAACCGGCAAGATGATCCTGCATTATGCAACAGGCTTCAGTTTCTTCATGTACATTCGGTAATTGAATGAGCAATCGTGCCCTTGGGATACCAGCAAAAGATTTGAAAATTGTCATTGGAATTCATCCAATCTGCATGGAAATTGTCATCATAATCGATACAAGTCCGTGTGTTTACAATCAATTTATAGTTAATTTGCTAATGTTTCAATCGGATAATGGCTGCGGAATGTCTCGATTTCAATTTGTTTACCGACGTTTACTGCGATGTTATGATATTCTATTGATATGTAACAGCGTAGTTACCGTCAGATTGGGCCGTTTGGTTTGTGCAATATGAACTGAAAAATAAAATTTCATTTGAAAATTGAGCAATGAAGTTTCTCGATTCAGCACTTTGCTTGAGCAGACCCTTCTTACTTATTCAAGTTTATTTATTTTATTGTCATTATCAGTGACCAAGCCCCCCACCCCCGTGTCATCCAGTGACGCTACGCCACTGCCTGGGGGTACCCGGAATATATCCGGGTGTAGTCTATTTGGCTACCAATCACCTTATCATCGTATTTTAATGTGATTTAATGGGTTTTAATTCAATTCATATTCAAGCAACTTCCCCGGGGTACCCGGAACATGTCCAAGTGTGTCCAATGTGGTCTGGAACACTTAACACGACTTGCATTGATCTTATTTTTGAATTCTGTAGTAATTTGATGTGTTGCATGATGGTTTTGATACGTTTTCCGTTAAATCCAGCGTGAAGGCCCATATTCACCGGATCTTATTCCGGCCATATCTCCGGAACCGGTTCACCGATTCCAAAACTGTTCAATAGCGTTCAATGGGACCCCAAGACCTATCACTTGGCGCCGAGTTTGTCCAAATCGGTTGAGCGGTTGCTGAGAAACGTGAGCGCATTCATTTCGTTACATACACACACATACAGACATACACACATACACACACACACAGACATGTTCCGATCTCGTCGAGCTGAGTCGAATGGTATATGATGGTTTTGATACGTTTTCCGTTAAATCCAGCGTGAAGGTCCATATTCACCGGATCTTATTCCGGCCATATCTCCGGAACCGGTTCACCGATTCCAAAACCGTTCAATAGCGTTCAATGAGACCCCAAGACCTATCATTTGGCGCCGAGTTTGTCCAAATCGGTTGAGCGGTTGCTGAGTAACGTGAGCGCATTCATTTCGTTACATACACACACACATACACACGTACACACACACACACACACAGACATGTTCCGATCTCGTTGAGCTGAGTCGAATGGTATATGACACTCAGCCCTCCGGGCCTCGGATCGATAGTCGGTTTTTCAAGTGATATCTATACCCTTCTTTGTAAAAAGGGTAAAAACGTAGGGTAGAGAAATACTTCGGCATAATCGCCCATTTTAGGTCTATCGAGCAGAAAACTTCAAATAAATCCTTGATTTCGGCGTTAACAAGTCAATTATTCATAGGTGCGATATTTTAGTTCAAAAGCTACCGAACGAAGTTAATTAGAACGCGTGATATGACTGTTTGCACTCATTATTCTCAAAATCAAATAAGCGCTCCGACCGAATCAATTTTTATCTTCATCCGATAGGCCGAAGTGAATTCAAAGGCGTTTGAATGGCGTCCCATGCCAAATTTCTAACAGTGTTAGCTTTTTAACGATATCTCAACAATGTGTTACTTTCTATCAAATCTTACGGCAAGGTAAGTACATTTAGAAGTTATCTACAGGGAAAACATTTTATTTTGTGATATCATGATATCAAACTAATTCTCAAAAATAAAATATGATTCTATACTGTCTTCCCTTTTTTGAAAGCTATTCGTTCTTTAACATCTGATTTTCAGATAACTTGTATCGATGTATAACATTTATTTTACTATTGTTGAAATTTTTGGGATCAATTTGGATAATTCTGTGTGTTTGAATAATTTAACCCATCTCATTATAAGGTAAACAAACTTTTTCCTTATTTTAAGATTGGCAAATTGGAACCCAGGATTGTGAGTTTTCGAGCGCTTCGAGGATCATAGGCAAAGCAAATATTTAAATAATGAGAGATCGTGCAAATAGGAACATTTTCAGATGAACAATTTTTAGCTTTTGATTTTTCATAGTACATCTCCATCCTTCAATCATGAGAAGCGCTTTCGAGTTTAAAAAATTTCATCTGATATTTCTGTGTTCATCAGAACTCATCTGACAAATCAAACGGCCCTTTTCAGGGTCACAAAATTTTTTGGCTATTTGAATTTCTATCTTCTCAATGCAATAAGGCAGTTCTATGTCAACCATATAAGATCACCATAAATACTTCTTTGTACGGCTACGCTGGACATGGGTTGACCCGGTGGTTGGAAAGGCAGCCTTCATCGCTACGAGAAATGGGCACTCAGAGAGCCCAGTTGCTTCAGGATTAGAAGCTTGGTTGCTTCCGTTTTGCTGGTTCCAGGAATTTCATTCATGCCAAGATTAGTAGAATTCCTAAACAATCTCTTTTGAAATTAGTTGGTGACCCTGAACAGGGCCGTTTCTGATAGGGAAATTGAACGAAGCTTAACCTCAGGTGCGTCCCTGACGCTTCAGGTAACAGCGCCACGAATGACGTTTTCCAGCAACACCTTGCCTTGAGCACACTCGGGTTTCAGATCAGACCGGAGATACGCTTGACATCACCACGACGAGCCAGACGACGGACGGCGGACTTGGTAATACCCTGTAAGTTATCATACAACACAATTGGATCCTCCTTTGCCGAGTCCTTTGCATCACTTGCCACGTCCAGTCATTGTTTATGCTGTTTATGTTTCTTCGGGTAAGATTGAAACGAATGTGACAAGAAATTCCAATTTTCGGCTTTTTTATACCTACTTGAGGGTTAAATTCTTCTTGTTGTTGTGTTCTTGTTCTTTCATCGTTTACGATTGGTTGAACATAGCAGATGCATGTTATAAAAGAGAATGGAAGTGATGATCAGAACCAGTGTTGGGAAAATATCAAAAAATCAAATCTCACCACCGCCCAATATCACGCTTGATTTTCGTAGACAAAAATCAACAAGCAAACTAGTGCGGTTGACTTTGCAAGCTGTGATATCGCAGTTCGGAATATCAAGCTAACAAAACTCACCAGCTGCAAATCTCAACAAACTGTGGTGAGATTCAACTACATGATTTTTGCTTTACACCCGAATGCAACCGAAACATCCATAACGGCTGGCAGCAGTCACTTCGTGTCTGCCATCGGTGAACAGTAAAAAGAGATAGCAAACTATACTTTCTCTTTCGAAGAATACGATGGGCAACGGAATCATTTTTGTGTCGAGTCAACTTTCAGCTTGATTTTTGCCCGTTGTGAATAGTCTCGCAATATCAAAGAAGCTTGTAAAATCAATATCAAGCATGATATTTTGTTCCAACATCACGCATGATATTGCGAGCGCATGAGAGCGGAAAAACATCGATTGATTTCTGATTTTGCCAAGACTGATCAGAACATGATTTTCTGCTTGATCGTCAAGCAGTTCAGTTCGGTGTTAGCTCGGTCTCTCGAGTTGTTTAAAAAGTTCGTGGCGATAGTGTTCGCGCTCTCTCTTTCGCGGTTTGTCGTGCGTGTGTGTGTGCCCCGAAATGGGGAAACATCGGTCGCGAAGCCCGGTGAAGGTCCAGAACCCCGGTGAAGGAAGCTCCGGTGTGCCTATCTCGAACAGGTTTGCTGTTCTCCCCATGGATGGGAATATCCAGCCAGCTGTGTTGGAAAAACGCAGCAAGAAGAGGAAGAAGTCCGATGTCACTGCGACCAACGCCAGCGACATCGGTGATTTCGGCGACGCCATCGGCAACGAAAATCCTGCCGGTCCGAGTGCGGCAAAAGTGAAGCTACCTCCATTGGTAGTGAAAAATGCCCATCTTAATGAGCTCATCGCAGATCTAGCGACGCTGGGCGTTAAAGCCGAATACAAGTTGGGCAGAGTCGGCACCAAGGTGGTGCTCCGTACCAAAGCGGAGTATGACTTGGTCGTTGCCCACCTGAGGACTTCCAAGGTGGAATTCTTCACCCACGACATTCCCGGTGAGAAGCCATTCAAGGTCGTCATTACGGGCCTACCAAACTTCGTCCCGAAGTTTATCGAACCTGAAATCAGAGACCGGTACAAGCTGGCCCCAAGTGCCGTCTATCGGATGACAAGGAAGGACGAAAATGTGAAGGCGTATCCGGATAGCCTTTTCCTGGTACACTTCCAGAAGGGAACGGTGACGCTCCACCAGCTGAAAGCCATCCGCTCCTTCAATTCCATCATCGTCTGCTGGGAGCCATACCGTGGCGGCCATCGCGATGTGACTCAGTGCCAACGGTGTCTGAACTTTGGACACGGCACCCGCAACTGCAACATTAAGCCACGCTGCGGCAATTGCGCTCAAGACCACGCCACTTCCGACTGCCCTGCGGATGGAGCCGTGGCGTTAAAATGCACCAACTGTGGTGGTGCTCACCAAGGTTCCGACAGACAGTGCTCCAAACGCGAGGACTTCAAACGCATCCGAAAACAGGCGGCAACTAACAACCAACCAGGACGCAAGAAGGACCCGGCATTTTTCGGACGGACGGACGGATTTCGGACGGAGGATTTCCCGCCTCTTCGTGCTCCTCAGCAAAGGCAAGCGAATTCGCGGGTGCATTCCGCTCAAGCAACTTCTGGTGATTCTGCTGGCCAAAGCTCTCCATCCCCCCCTGGATTCTGGAGACAACCACAAGCGCAAAACAACAATCCCGATCTGTTCTCAGCAGATGAACTGATGGAAATTTTCGTCAACATGTCCGGTGCTCTTCGTAAGTGCCGCAATAAGCCCGAACAGATCCAAGTGCTCGGTAAGTTCATCATCCAGTATGGTGTCTAAACCGCTAACCATCGCTACCTGGAACGCTTGCTCTGTA